TCAAATAGAAAATTCAAAAGCCATATCCGAAATAGAAACAATACTGTCAGATTACTCAAGAGTATTTGTATGTAAGTTATAAATTAATATAACATTTGTAATGCCATATTTCCCAAGAGATTGGGAAAATAATGGTTTCATGTATGTCTATTATAATTTAAGCTGCTTATGCAAGATCTTCAGGAATTACAAACTAAAAGCATTTACACACGACACGATTTTAAACCTGACACACACGAACTTTGATTCCAACCGTTCAATCCACCTCAGTTTAGTGGTACGAGAGGACTATTAGTAATGGGGATTAATTACTCTATTGATAGTATGGTAGGACATCACGTCGATCTCCATGCGAATAACTTGGATACTATAGTTGTTAGTTCATAGAGCAGCCACGGCAGGCAACTTAACACACTTCATCTCAATCGTCTCCTGCAACACTGGTACTTCACAATTGTACACTGTTACCCTAAACTACGAGTAGGAGTTTAATAAGAGTATGGTTTTATTTGCATCTATAAAAATAATTTAATTTAAATTTATTCAATAGCAGACGGATCACACTTAAGTTACTTATAACATAAATCATGATTTTTGTAAAGAATTTGTTAATTTATTGGGTACGTAATAATATGCAATATTTTTATATGATATTTGAATTTATTCAATAGCAGTAGGATCATGGGCACGTTACTTGGTGAGAAAATAACGTGTCATGATTTTTGTACGGAACATTTCATATAATTTTTCATTTCATTTTATTACGTACATCAACACAAGCAATATTATTGTGTAATTAAATTTTTAATTGATATCGTTTTCATGTAATTATCGCGCATTTTCCAATTAAAGAACGTCGTAAGTAAACAATTTAAATAAACGAATAATAGATCTATTCTACATCAAACAGTTGGTTCTTTTTTGTAGTGGAAGCCAATATGTTGGCGATAGTTGTATGCTAAATATTATTTTATCAAGCTATCTCTACTTACTTCTATGTTTTTAGGTGGGTTAAGTCAGACGACTTTATCTAAAAAAGTCTACTTCAATAGTAATCTGTTAAATCGTATAGTGAATAGACGCTTTACTTAATAGTGTTATATATGGGAGTAATACAGTAACATGTTGTTAAAGTTTAACTAACAATTTATAGCTTAATTATGTGCTAGTTTTCACTTGCGCTGTGTCAATTTTGTAATGATTATAACATTACTAATAATTGTTCTACTTCACAATTAATCCTTTCTAAAATAGACATATCAATATTCAGTACTTGACATCAGAATAGAGCTATCTATTTTAACTATACTTTGACTAATTAATTAAATATGAATATTTAACTAACAGTGAAAGATTATTCAAAGCTCTGATCTTTTGAAACTTTATAAAATTGCTGGAAGTTACTTCGAGGGCAAAAATAAAATAGATTGAAAGATATTCAAATAAATTAAATTGGAAGTACTTTTAGTACTTTAGATTAAGTAAGTTTTATACGTAGTCTAGTTTTATGATTCTTGTTGGGGAATTCTTTTATATTTTCTTTTGCACTTTGACATATGTTTTAATATATATTTTAACATATTTATTTATAAAATTAAAATACGTGTCTAAAAATACGTACTTAGTTTATTATTATATATCGCCGCTAGCCAAACTAGTAAACCTTTTTTTCTTTTAAGCTTTAACTCGAGAAAATTAGAAAGAAACTAAACTATTCCTTTTTTAAAAATAAAATCGATACTTTACACATTTATCAGGCTGTGCAAAACTGTGTGTACCACAGTATTAATGCTAAATGACGCAAATACCATCGTCATCATTCACGATCATTCCACACAAGTAGCACTTATGTATTCATGAGTATGGCAAATGAGCCAGCCAACATTACGTTGCGACATACTTTAGGGAGTCTAATGACCGGTAACAGGATATTCGGAAATGAACCAAATTTGTTGATTTTGCTTTCCAAGTTTGTACGCTGTAGTGGAAATGGTCCGATTGAACGGTTGATTAAACAGAAAAGCTTTAGTATGTATGATTGGACACAGTAGTTATATATTATTTCCTATGGTTTCGACGTTCCCGTGATACTACAGATAAGATAATGTTCCATAATAACACTAACAATATGTAACTCTTACAGTAAGATCCGCCGAGTAGTTTAGTGCTGAAAATGTATCTAACATACATATATGTACACTGTCGTATATGTATAATATTAATATAAGTACTAACTGTTAACACTTATATAAACGATGGCAGGTCAAAAGCCAATGTGACTGACATTGGCTTTTTATCTCGCATCATGATAGAAACTCCATATATTTTGCACGTCAAATTCATCATCCATTCATCATCCTTACGCCTATCATTACAGTATGTATAGCCGTTTAGTCATGAAAAGATAAAAAGCTGATAGGTTTAGACACATTTATTATTATAATAATAGTATGGTTATTGGCAATGAATATTGAAAAATAAATGTAGATTTTTTTAAGAATTCAGAAGTATTTAAAAATGTCAAAAATATATCTATTCTATTAATATTTCGTCCATGTAATCCCAGTACTATAGATATTTAATCTTTTTGTAACTAATCTAATTTACTTCTGGATTACAGTTATTAAATAATAGGGCCAAAGGATTTGACATTAAGAACTGGAATCATTGCTTTCAACTTACAATATTACAAGTTCGAATCTGTAATTCAAATGAAATCAAAATGGCGTTGGGTTTAATTTTAATATGTATTCGAACCTCGTTTCATCAAAAGTAACTTTACTCTTAGTTTAATTTGAAGGACTTCGATATTGTTCTCTAATGGTCTTCTCCTTTGATTTAGAGTTTAAGGTAACGAGTTTCAATTAAGTGTTTGGATCGTTCAATTCCCGTTCAATAGAAATATACATATCTCTACAAAAACCTTTATATAAACGCACAGTTTAGATTGCGAAGCAAACAATATTCATTTTATATATATTGTATCTGATGTTTAATATGAAGTATTTTTTATCTATCTATAATACTAAAAATAGCAGTATCTTAATTATGTGTTTATTATATTCCTCCATTGTGTAGCTATTCTTGTACCATGTTAGTATTCTACTAATGAATGTCGGTTATTTTTATGAAATACTTCAAATCTATTTACAAAAATAATATTGGAAATCAAATTTTACTCATTTGAGTCTGCATTACTATCATCCGTGTAAAGTGTAGCTTGAGTGACTTCTGATAATAAAATAGAATATTACATTCTTGAAAGAGATTGTACATAGATATAATAATGTAAATTAAATAATGTAAATATCAAGCTAAATCTAGCTTGAATACAGTCAACAGATTTTATTATTTGCAAAAATAATCTTGGAAATAAAATCAAAATATCTTTATTCCTTTAGATCTCCTCATATTATTACTATAATCAGTTTAGAATGTAGTTTCAGGTGACTCCTGGCAAGAAATTAAAGTTTTAAAAGAGATTGCACATACACACCCCGTCCGATCGATCTCCCGTCCATTTCAAAGGGGGATGGAATTTACGACGGTCTGAGCCGAGGTTCGAACCCTTAGCGGTGCGTTCAGACTAAAGTCGTATCTGTCAGACGGGAGTTGGCCTTCAGCCTCTCTATAAGTCCTACCGCGGGTTTGGAGTGCCATGTGCACTCGTCCCCTATCGTTCGGTGAATCTGTAAAGGCCAGCTGCGGCCAACAGCATTAGAGTAGTCCGAAAAAAGATTGCTTATAGTTGTAATAATTCAAATTAAAGTTTACTCATATCTAGCTTGAATACTGGAATTAGAACGATAATGGAGGCATACTTAGATCAATCTAACAAAACTTGTAGCAACAACCTGGACTCTTCTCACAAGCAGAGTGAATCAATAAAAAAATAGTAAGCAGAACCTGGACATTTACGACAAACAATTCTTGCAATATGAAAATATCACCTAACATACATGCAAAAAAATATTATAGAGTCTAATGAAGTCCGCTTGAAAGTCCGCTAAAAATAGACCTTTCTTGTTTTATTTGTGTCATCATCCGGATGATAATAAAATGGATAAGATGTAGGCATAGTCTCCAGGAGTGGCGATATATGAGGGGTACTTTAAGTGGCACAGTATATTTGTACCGTCCATTATGTTCATCCATCAAGCGGCCCGTCAGCTTGTTTACCACTCGTATTGGTATAAAAAATATAAAGACGTCCCGTCTGATCTATCAACACACAGAAAAAACTGTTTGCTGTTTAATCTCGCAATTTCGTTAGTAGGTACTATATTATATAGTACCTATAACAATAATAAAAATAATAATGACCCTGGACAATTTACACAGCACCATAATAGTTCCAAGCTTGTGTTATGAGTAGATACTAGAAAAAATATACTGAATATGTAAGTATTTACTAAAAAATAGGTAATTAAACACACAAGTACTTTTGTATAAATACAATCATAGTATACATACATAGAAAACACACAGTCTAATACAAACGAGCATACTCGTGAATACAAATGTTTGTATTATGTAAGGAATAGAGCTTGCGACCACAGGAAGTAGGGCGGCGTACTAAACCACTAGACCACTGAGGCCGTGAATATCTGTATCCCATACAGAGATATATGTATGGATAGATATGAGCAGTAATATATAAAAACTTATGCGGTTATTAATAGTATAGTGAGTTAAAATTTCCGCGGTAGAATGCTAACCGAAGGAATGTAGCGACGCGGAATTACGGCGTGTGCTTTTAAGTGAGTAAAATTTGCCACCTCCACCTAGCGGTCCTTCTAGTCGGAAATACCATCTATTAACGATTTGTCACATGTAAAAAACTTTTTTTGCCAATGGTTAGTAGTGTTAACAACTTTCCCTAAAAAGTAGTTTCGAATATTTTAACTTTTAGTTTAAACAGTGTTATAATAACGTGATTTTGTACGAAATTAAAAAAAAATATTAATTTAATGTTTAATATGTTTTTCTATTTATTACAGATGTTTCGGATCAGAATCCGAAGAAATCGTCAAGCAAGGTTGAAGAGGAAATAGATGACAAAGGAACCAAATTGGGTATCAGTAAGTGATCACATTTTATTAATTAAACTACTCTCTTCTTGGATAATAATACTTGTAACTCAAGATGTAACCTTAACGTCTAAATGTCAAGGTTGCTAATCCAATTAAGAGCTTAATTTGTCTAGAAGACATTGATATCTTTCATGTCGGATTGCTAATTGTTTTTCAATTATAGCTGCTGGACAAATAGTTGTTAACAAGCGATATAATCTGTAATAAAACATTAAATATTTATTTATTCACTCGTGCACTGCTTAAAATATATGTACAAATGTTATGGATGATAATGGAATGGTACACCCTCATGCGCTAACGCTGGCGGGCGCCAGTGGAAGGTGATAAGATGAGCATGAGGTCAGGGCAATTAGCCCATCGTGACAAATTCACCACGAATTTATCACGATGGTTTCCAAGGGGCGGATGTCAACCAGACATAGTACATTGCTAGAAATGGGGTCATGAGGGGGGAAGGGGACTGTTAGTAATGTGGATTGATAACCCCATTGCTAGCAATGTACCAAGTCAGGTCGACCTCCACGCGGTTCCCCCTGGAAACCATCGTGTTAAATTCCTGGTGAATTTGCACAATGGGCTAACTGACCTGACCTCATGCTCATCTTATAATCCTCCACTGGTGCCCCGCCAGCGTAAACCGGTACCGCAGGCGGGTGCAACATTCCATTATCAACACTAAAACAAAAAAATGGGGTCATGAGTCCACATTACTAATAATCCCCTTTCCCCCTATATAATTGAAGAGTTTAATGCCATATGGCTTTCTCCACCAGCTAATCATTGGGTAAAAACAGACAGCAGTTGAATTCAGTAATGGGAAAAGGCATACTTTTGGTATTTACCTAACTTAGATAAATGTATCAATACCAATTTGTTTATACATAACAATTATAATATATACGTACGAAAATTTTAACTTTCTATAATAGATACAATACATACATATATATAAATAAACATATATTTTAGAGACCAATTAATGTTATGTATATATACATAGATATTACTAATATATATTGTATATATATGACAACAACAAGCAGTTAACACTCATTTTGTTGCTTAAGAATATAATCATAGTTTCCTTTTGAATATGGCCTTACTTTGTGTTCTACAAAGTTTTAAATATAGTATTTTTTACTACAATGTCGAATTTATGAAAAGAAATTGTGTAAAGAAATTCGAGAATCTCATAAAAATTCGACACACTGATTTCTATTTGCATGAATACAGGATGTATTGCGGTCGCATTATATAACTATTAACAATACAGAGTGATTTTCCTTGTATATACCGAGCTCACGTCTACGTTATTCTAATATTTGAAATGATGGAAATGTACATATATTGCAAGGATATTTCTTTCCAAGAAATATTTATTATAGTGGAAAGAGTTCTCTGTAAAAATAGGATATAAAAAATTATTATGTAAGTTACTACCACTTGACATGTTTACTACCTTTTATTTATTTATTTAATTAATCAATAACTTATAAATTATATATGCATATTACTTTAATCGCATCCAGCGGGCATAAAAAACCAAGTGAATTTTAACTTAAATTCAATTGAATTTAAGTTAAAATTCACTTGGTTTATTAAATTCAATTTACTGGAAAATGTGTACATAATGGTCTTAAGATTATAATAGTTTCCAACATGCCCTGCCGTTTCCGGCATATAAAATCCTACGATAATATTTATATTACATTATTATATTTAAAATTATTATTACAATCCATTATTATCATTTAAACAATCAATAAATTTAATTTATTTCTGAACTACTACATAATAAATAACTAATTATAATTATAATTAAAAAGCTAGTAACACCGTTCGATGCTAGAATCCTAGAAGTCGTAACGCAAACCACAGTTGGCACAAGAACATAGTCAGCGTTTTAGGATTTAATATTAAATTAACAGTGTTCTAATTAAAACTGTCCAACTACTATATTGAAGTTGTGACATTGCGGCCTCGTTCATTTCTCGATGCGTGTAAGTTTTACTCTTCAGCTTTTGGTTAGGGCTATGTACTGCATATGTAACATGTTATTTGGTATTACATTATTAGTGAAACCAATAACAAATACCTTATAAATTTATTGAAAACAGAACAGAGTTACATTATCAAGCGATTTAATCTAAACAGCAATATAAAGTACAAAAAGCTTATGTTTGTAATTACAAAATATTTTTTTAATAATTGTTGATTATTCTTACTCTAGTCTTAGTCTTATACTCTTATGTAATGTGTCTTGCTTTTTTTTTAATTTAAATTTTATTCTTTATACAAAATCTATGTATCTGTCCTCAAAATGCAGTTACGGATTTCTATTTTAGAATTAACGGATGATAAATATTAAACAAGAGGCATAGAATATATTCGACAATTGTCCATCCATCTGTCACTTGTGACAATGACTGATACAGGAAAATGGAGCGATTGTTTCTCCACCTAGTAAACTTGAACTCATCAATATTATATACTAGTTTCAGCCAGCGATTTCTTTCGCATTTAACAATAAACTAAGTCATCCTTAATCCCAAGTGTTACATCTCATGATGACTAATTACTACCTCCCAAGATTTTATCGATTTTCTCCTACATTATAGTATCTTAAGGGTGTAACGTGCATTGCTGGTGCTACCCCTAGTGTTTTATGCGTCCACAGGCTACGGTAACTGTTTACCATCAGATGGGCCGTAAGCTTTCCACCTACATGGTATAAAAAAAATTTACTCCCTTGAGATATGAAAGTGTGTCAAATATACTAATCTTTTCATTAGATATACTACTTTGTATATTTGTATAGACAATGTACCCGATGGTGAGAGAGCCATATAATATAAATATGTGAAATGCCATTATATCCAGAATATGCAACATCCTGACAAATGCAATTTAGGTAAAAAATATTACGTACATATTTTTTACCTAAACACTAATGTATCGCTGGCTTCATAAAAACTTTATTATTAAATAATATGCAATCGATTATAGACAGCAGGAAGTTTTATTTTTATCTTTACTTTCTCTATCCACCTAAAGCTAATGTAGAAGAAATTGCTTAGGTATAAGACCGTCTTTTGTATCAGCTCATGTATATTTACTATTTTAATTATTTATAGATATAGAGATAAGAGTATAAATCAAATAAAAATAAGTGTGACAAACAACATCATACAAATCTCTCACTCGGTTCTTTGATAACAACCTACGCATATGCACATAATAAAATCTAATTGAAAATCTCCACATTTTTATAGTTAGTAAAAATATAGTCTATTGTCGACAAAAGCAGCGAATAGGTTTCAACCATAAAAGTCTGTCACTCCGAACAAAAACAGAGTTAAATAAAATAGAACCATAAATCTTAGTTTTTGGTGGCTTTATTTTATGTCTATTATTTTATTTTACTTCGCCGGTTGCAAAAAAAATCCTGACAAATGCGAGTATTGTTTGATTATGATTTATATTTAGCTTATAAATGAGTTCATTTTCAAGTTACTTGTTTTGCATATTTCTTTTTCTCATTCTTGAATGTTGATGAAGGCAATAACTTCTTTTTATGAAAAGAAGACATGGAAAATTTATTATGTTGTTTATAATATCTTAATTTTTTGTAAAATGTGATAGGATACTTAGTCTTATGTATGACAATGACATATGGCTTCAACTTTCAATGGTTGCCGGTTTGATATCCATCCAATGCAAATATATAATACTTATGAGTATTATATTATTTATTTAACTGTAGTTTTCTGATTTGTATCTATACAAATATTATGAATGCGAAAGTGTGTCTATCTAATTACCTATTTGTTACCTTTTTATTACTAAATAGCTGAACGAATCTTAATAAAAATTTGGCTTAAAGATAGATTGTACCACGAGCCTACCATCGTTTCTAGGTCTATACATAGGCATCAATTGTCTCAAAAATAAATCTGGAAGGGGTGAAATAGAGGTTGACAATGTATGAAAAATGCATGAATGAAGTCAACAGCTAGCATGTAATGAATTATTTTTATTCGTGTCTATTACTTATTTAGTAGTTCACACTAAGCTATGAGAATGTATGCAGATGAAGTCAAGGGCAACAGCTAGCATTAAATGCATTATTGTAATTTGTGTCTATGACTTAGTAGTACCCACTATTAGTCATACTGTATTGCTATGGTATACACATGTAGATTTACCCATATTCTATTGTATTGGTCTATATATCCTGTAGTATATACTAGTTGTAATCAAGCCTATATGTGTGTACTAAGATCCAAATAAAAATTATCACCTGTCTATCTATCTACAATTTTCTAAAGTACAAGCTGTGCTTAGCTTGAGACTAAATGACACTGTATTACAATGTAAAAAAAACTTTATATCTAATTATTATTGTATTTTATCCTAGAAAACTTTATATATCAAAAGAAAATTTTCAGAGTCAGTTCAGAAGTACCAAAATGTTTCTTTCAGATAAATGTGTCTTGTCAAGTAGGTATATTCGCTTTTTTATAAAGATATACTTACACGTTTGAATAATACCTCTCATTTCTTTACCTTCGCGCGTATATTGAATATTCAATCACTGTTCCAACACTCCAGATATGAAAACTGAGAAAACAATGGTATCACGGAGAGCTAAGCCATAAATAACACGATTCGCGTAGTCATATAAACATCGGATTATACCCAATAAATATTACAAACGTTTGAATTTTTATCACTATCCTATATAAATTGCGAGTTAGGCAAATAATAAAAAATATAGACGTGTAATAAGGAATGCTTTAATATTATATTATTATAGATCGCGCCGAAAGTACCGAACTTACAAGGTAAAATAGTATTCTTGTGGTACGGCTACCTATGGCTGTGTATAGGCCTTTAGTCAAATCAAATAAAATTTATTTGAGACTAGCTGTTCCCGTGATTTCATCCGCGTGGAATTTAACTTTATTTTTCTAAAACTAATAGTAGTCTAAGTTACTCCTTATTACATCAGCTACCTGCCAAAAAAAGTCCCATCAAAATCGGTCCAGCCCTTTCAGAGATTAGCCGGAACAAACAGACAGACAAACAAAAATTGTAAAAAATATTATTTTGGTGTATGTATCGTATTTATATTCATATGCATGTAGTAAAAAACGGTTAAATCAATATTACAAATAGACACTCCAATTTTATTTATATGTATAGATATCGATAAGTTTACATTGGTTATTATTGTAGAACATAATGTCCCATTATGCTTGGTCTTATTAGTGATCGAAAATTTCAAATCATTTAGTCGATAGTCGTCAGGTTATCCTAATACGACAAAATTTCTAATGGACTGCTATTATGTTGTGTTCGACATTCGGTTGTAATACCTTGCCTTTTTTGTTCTCAAAAGATGTTTATAGCACTCACCTGGATGAAATATCAGACTTCTGCAGTGCTGACTACGCTATATTCTAGAAACTACTATAACTATCGCTATATATGATGGTGTATTAGGTCCGTATTATGCGTCCATATCTCATCCTTAAAAACATCACACAGCTTACAAACCAATCTATTTGGTAACAAAAGTAATTGAGATAGAGGCAAATAAATTTGTACAACGACTACCATGGTAAAAGTTAATACTGCTAACCAGTAAACGTAAAAAATAAGAAAACAATTGAACACATAATTGTTACTTTCTCTATATCAAATCAAAAGTGAACAATCACTGAATGATTATTATAAGATACATAATTATTATTGTTCTGAAACCAAATTCAAATAAGGAAATGAACACAGGTGGAGGAAAAAACTAGAGCACCATAGAATTGAATACTTTCATCGATTAAACAACGCACATTCATCGTTATTAGACCGTCATAGCTCCATGGAGTTTAGCTCTACGTACATATAAAGCAAAGCGAGACGTTCTGCAAATGCGTTTCGTTTGATAACTCTACCTTTCCATACTTGATTTACAAGTTGTATCCTGGATGTTTTAGAATAGAATAAAAATAATCTTTATTCAAATAAACTTAATATAAGCAATTTTGGAATAGTCAAGTTTTTTTATTCTACTGCTCAATCGGAATGCAGACTCGTCACAAGAAGAACGAGAAAGAAACTTGTGTGTTGCTCTCTTAAATAAATATGTAAATATTAACTAGTTCTCGTTTTGGAGTTTTTATATATTTAGAATGATAAACAAGCTCACCACCTGACGGTAAATGGTAACCGTCGCCTACAGACATGAAGATCATTACGGATATCACATCATCATGCCACCCGTGGCAACACTCGCCTTTGCTATTATTTCATATACTATAGTTTTACATACTATTGGATTATACTTAGAAAAGTATATATATATTTCATTATTTTTATTAGTTTTTTATATTTTGTTATATAGTGTATATTATATTTTGTTTTGGTATATTTTATCTGACCTTTTGAAAAATATTACATAGTTATATATATTAATAAAGTATCGAATTCAGTTTTTATTGTGTTTTATTACTCATTACTTGTGAGGTCTGTAGTTCAATTATTTATTACTTGTGATATCTGTAGTGCTGATCATTTCATAATGTCAACGGTTACCACCAGTCTATAACGAAGTCTATGAGTACGGTGACATGATACTGTGATATTATCATATACTATAATTTTCACTATTACTATTAAAATACGACTAATTTTCAGTGTCAGGTTTTCTTCAAAATCAAATTAATATTTTTTCTCTCTCTTTTCTTACAGGAAGACATAAGAAAAAAGTACTCATGGCAGTAATACCTTTGTTGTTTGGTATGAAGTCAGCCGGGGCGGTTATCTTTGCTTTGGCCATTGTCACCGTCTTAACCTTGAAAGCCTTTGTGGCCAGCAAACTCGCCCTTATCGTCACCGTGGGCATGGCTGTTAAAAAACTATACGAGTCTTATGGCAATGGGTGAGTTGTATTTTTTAATTAATATTAATAATTACTATTCTTATCATTTTTATAGAATCTTTTGAAGTTAATCATTTAGAAGACAGAATTAATATTACTATTTAAAGCCACGACTTTCATCCCCGTAATGTTTATTTTTTGAGATAAAAATAGCCTATGTCGTCAATCTACTTTCATGTAAAATTTGCAATAGAATCTGTTTAGCCGTGAAGATGCAACTAGTAGATAGACCGTAACATAAACATACTTACACAATTATAATCCTAATATGGATATTTGAATATAATAATAATATTAACTAATAATTGTGTTGACGATTGTCTCTAACATAATTAAGACCCATGTTAAGGGCCTTAATTATGTTAGAAATAATTCTCAATTGTAAAGGATTTAAATTGATTATTTTATGAATTTCTATGAACAACTTGAGAACGGCAGACGCGAACAGTTGCAATTGCAAACCAGTCGTAATTGTTATTATTACATGGTTTGAATATGATTGCAAAATTGTAGATTTCAATCCGTTTTAAATGATAATTGTGTAATATCTTTATTTAATTAAGACACTGTTATTAGGTTATTTGTAACAGTGTCTGTATATCTCTTTTGTTCGGGTGTTCCTAAACAATTTATATAATAATTAATATCCTTTTGTGTATACAATTTTAAAAAACCGTGATAGTAATGTAAAACTTTGCATATAGTAATATTTATTCTGTTTGATTAGTAACATTTCACATCGTAATGTAAATATTTAATTTGTTCTCAATATAATGCTTCTTTATGATAAATCTTGTCACTGTAATGTACAATTTCCTTCTATTTTGCATTGGTAATACTTTCTTTCGTTTGTTATTTATTATTGCTCCATTATTTTAATGCAAAATGTACAATGCAGCATGTTTTGACTGACTGGTGCTCTAGAAAGCGACGCGTTGTAAATACACGTATGAGCTATGAAGAAAATTTCCACTTGACCAATCGTTTCAAATGTTGCATGACATTTTTTATGTCCAATTCCGTTACAAATATCAGTTGTCGTTCGTGCGAATTCCGTCGCATATCGACCACTTTCGCATTAACAAGCATTTAAGTTGGAATTTTTCTTGAACAATGCGATTTCACTACAGACATTTGCAGATGACTTTACTGACTGTGATAAACATGGACGCAATAATTTTCTACAGCTACAATAGACGTTAAATCTGAAATTTAATGTATTAAGAGGGATAGAATTTTTCGTGTTATGCAGTATTATAAGGAAGCTATACCACGTTAGTTGTAATACGGAACTTATACGGAAATAGGAAGTAGTCATTACTTGTGTTAGCGACGCCGATCAGAATCGAAAATATTTTCTTTTAACATTTAGTCGACATGCGAGAAATATTATGTCGTTAATCTTTAGTAAAATCGATCATTCCCCGAGTATAGGCACCAGGGCGTCGATTTCTCGTCAACCATCATCAGGGAGCCTCAAATTTAGCATCTTGAGTGTGATAATGTTTCTTCTATATATTTCTAGACAATTAAAATTTACTTGGAAAACATTACGTCATTTGTTTTCTAATTTAGAAAAGTATTCTCATTTTTTATAATTGTAAGAAGCATATACTAATGTTAACTCTGGATACGTAGAAAGATCAAATTAATAAAGTCAACTTTATAAGAACATACTAATAGGCGGACTGTTTATTTTCCATGGCAATTACATAATTACATTTAAGTAACCAATAAATATTATTTCTGTTTAATTATATATAAAAGAATAAAGTTTACAAAAATATTAATTGCAGTTACAATAAACATTGAATATAAAATGGATTAATGAGGGTATACGTTAAGTTATAGCTTATATTTTTTATCCAATAAATTAGTAGCAGAGAAAAAAATATTTCGAAGTAGCTGAAATTATAGAGAGAAGCCTGAATTTTAAACAATATAGAATTGCGTATTAAATTTACTTGAACTTAAATGCTACCAATTTACTTAGACATGACAAATGTTAACAGGACATGACAAAAGAGCTAAAACCATAACTGTAACGTGACTTATCAGACAAAATACAAAAACTCACAAAATTCTTTCAAGTTTCATACTCTAGACTATACGACGTATGACAAAGCTATCATATTTTAAACATCGGATTTGTTTGCGTTACAGCGTCGGTTTACAAAACCATCCATATCTTTATTCACAATATCCGATTGATTTCCCGAGTGCCTCCTCCCACGCTTATTCTGTAAGCGGAGTGAGCCCACAATTCGGATCACCAGAGATGTATAATCCTACTGCTCTGGGCGCGCATCCTCATACACATGAGCTGTTGCAAGCCAATGATGTCAGTGCTCAATCATCGCAACAAGCACCTACACTTCTAGTTAATACAACAAGAGCAGCAGAAAGATGGGATGGTAAGTCGAAGTTACTAAAATTCTTCGAACCTATCATTGAAAGCATTAAGAATTTTGTAGATCCAATAGCTAATGTTTTTTATGGTATGCCAGCTTCGTTTAGAGGTTTAAATTCCGATGTTGAAACAACAAAAAGTTACGAGCCTGAAATGGCTGAATCCAAGATGCCCAAAGAAATACTAGTTCCGCAACCTAGACTTATAGCCCAAAGAAAAATGACATATAGAAAGAATGTTAGAACCAGACCAAAAAAGTATGCAGAGTTAAAAATCAATTTAGAAAGGCTCAAGCAAAATAAAGATTTTCACGATTATATGAAAACAAAGAAGTATAAATACAATTATCCGCACACATACTATTATCCCAGAGTAAAATATTATATCGACCCTCACATATACAGACCAAATAATAGTAGACTTGTACCATATAAAATCGACCAAGCTAAACCAAAAGATATCATTACTGTACAAGAATCGTCTACTGATTCTAGTGAATGGAGACCAATAGTGGTACTACCTAACGAGAACAAAAAAAATTATACAAATTTATATAAACGTAATAAATTTAGTAAACGAAATAAAAGTCGACAATCTAAAAGTAGGGTAAAAAGAAGTATTAGTAATGACTATGAGTTATCATTTAGGAATGGTAGTTATGAAAATACAATTCATACTGTACATGCCAGAGGACTTTTTGATATACTTTCATTAATAATAGATACTGAAACAATAAATTCTTTTGTTGAAAAAGCTAATGATTATGCCAAGACAGTTATGAAAGAAGAAACTAAAAAGAAACCTTTATATTATAGTGTAGCTTATAAAATAATCGTATGGGGTCTTGACATGTTAAATGATTTCTTTTATGGAGAGTAAGAAAACGTAATGAATTATTATTATATAAAATTATTAAGAGAGTTTGATACAAGAATTTATTTCTAGTATTTAGATAAGAGTGCATTTATGAGCATTTAAATATTCAGACTGATTTTGGTGGTGGTAAAAAAAATGTGTTTATACGAAAGTGGAAAAATAAGGTTATTAAGCCAAATATGTTCAAAAATTGTAAATATCAAAGAAAATGTGTGGTAATTTCAGGACTTGCTTGTTTTAACTCGATAAATTTACACAACTACAATACTATTTAAATATTATCTTACAATAAGTAATATTAAAAGGGTTTACAAATTCTATTCTTTTAATACAATAATTTCCATTGAGAGGTAGCATAAATTATTTATGTATTTTATCCGATACTGCTTAATATTATCATTGAAACACAAGACTTAAATATTTTTGAGTATTTTGTTTGTAGATATTTGGAAATATTGTTATCAACAGTATTTAGAATATTCGTATTATTTGTGCTTTTTCTATAAGAGTGCTATTCATCACCTCATTTTATTTATCTGACTGTTTTCTATTGCATTGCACTTTATTCTCTAATCACTTTAGTCGATTCAATAAATTAGGATCAAACAAATGTATTTTTGTAATAGATTTCAATGGTTTGCTTTCAAGTTATTGTACTATTAGTATTATTTTCATATACATTGCACCCCGTACTTATAATGATTACATAAATCTATTATTTGTATTATTACAATTACTTCATTTAGCTGAAAAATAAAAATTTATAAGTACGAGGTACTTATGGTAATTAATACTGTAACATTGTTCTGTAAATATTATCGAGTTAAATAAATTTTTATTCATATTTGAATTGATATTTGTAATGTATTAGTGTATTTTACCGTTATGTGTACAGGTTACCGGAGTCGTCCAATGTTTTATGGAACCTCGCGCGCTACTTCAGATTCCTATTCGGGTTACCAGCACCCTCGCCACTAAGTCATTCACCGTCGATGACGATACCAATGTACACGATGCCGCAAATGTATGGCCCTCAAATGTTTGGCCAAGTGATGGCTGACATGGCCATGCCAACGGCTCAAACATAATTGGACATATGGACGTAATGTGGATCAAGTGGCGTCGTTTAGTAGAAAATTCGCTAAATGTCAGATTGCCACGCTAACTTGATCCGCCACTTCTGTGATAAGTATATGCGTGGCGGTCTGACATTTAGCAAAAATTAACGCAGTCGCACTGTTTTAAGTTGCTGGACTTTTATCTATTTATTTAATGTTCAAATCTTCCTCCAGGTCCAGACGATTTAAAACACTGCGTGGTTACTGCTCCACCTCTTTTGTTAAGGCAATTTCTGGTCTTGTATTTCTAAAGACTGATTACTTTAAGCGCGAGCCCGTCGACTTTATTTAATTTATTTTTATTTATAAGTGACGTTTGTAATAAGACTTATTTATTCAGCACATAGAAAATAAATTAACATTAACAGCTACTGATTGTTTTTATTTATATATCCTCATCTAATGAATATTTTTAATATACAGCGTCAGCGGTCTAGCGGTATAGCACACCGTCTTTCTTCGAGCAGGTTCGATTCCTCGCATGATACAAACATTTATATTAATGAGTATGATTGTTTATACCAGTCTTGGATTTTTTTTATATTATATATGTACAAAAAAGTGTCTATGTATTTATACCAATTGTCTAGTATCCATAACACAAGCTTTGCTTAGCTTGGGATTGCATGGCGCTGTGTGAATTATCCTGAGATATTTTATTAATCTTATCCAATGTACAGAAATTCAGAACATTCTATCAAGGAAATAAAACATTACAAAAAACATTTATGTAATTCTCAATTACACACATAATTATATGAGTGATATAGATATACTACAAATTATATATTAAAAGGAACAATAGCTATTAAGCACAAAATAGTAACAATCGATAGAACTTGTCTTATTAAATAACACAGACAGAATAAAAGGAATCTTTTTGTGCTTTTGTATTAGGAAATGTAATTACTGTTAGTGTTATTTTCACTTTGTTTGTTCACACTTGTTCCCTGCGAACAATGTAATTAAATATACTAGAGCTCCTTATGTACTTAGTATTTTAAAATAAACACCAGTTATACAGTTGGCTAGAATTGTTGTTTATTTGACTTTAAAAAGAAGGTCTTATATGATTGTAGTATTTATGCAGGTATAATTTTTTTCCACATTATTAACTTCCCTCCTAGCTTAGGACTAGAAAATCAGTTTTAATTTGTCTTTTTATTGATTAGTTTTTCTTTCATGAATCAGCATAATGTATCTTTATTTAATTAGGTCTCTTACAAACACAATAAGTCCAATATAACGACGTCTACGCTCAATATAATGATGATATGTCCTACAAATACTGAGAAATGGATAAACAGTTATATATCAATTAAATACATATATTTCGCTCAAAATGTCAGAAATAGAATACCTTATGTAGCGATTTAGCATATGGCCTTATTTTTACATATGGTGGCCAGTTCAATCTCTGTACAATACTACTATTAGTATTCACGAGTATTTCTCTTTATAATTTATTATATAAAAATTAAAAAAAATTATTGGCACCATATGCATTATAGGTATTTATGAAAAAACGTATAGTCCAGTACACACAACACAGACTTTGTTAGTTTGCAACTGGTTCTCCGAGGTCATTTAATCTATTTATATACAAAAATTAATATACTATCACGACTCTTATCCTAGATGAGTAGTTAGAAGCATCATTAACTGTTGTTGTGGTGATTGCAATAATTATATGCCCATATTTGGATCGGTATATTTGATCCAAAGTGGTAGAGAGCGGTAGGTTTGCTCTCACGGATAAATTTTTGTTGTGATATCGATGCTTCCATCGTCAAAGAGTCTCCCAGAAAATATAAATGACTAGATTTGAACTCATGACTACTTGATGGTAATTCAAAGTACTAAACCAATACGGCATGACGCCCTCATATTCTATTTATTTACTGTTGAGATTTAGCAGTGGTTACGTATAATGTTACCTAAATTATATTAAATTTTACCCTTAAAGTTCCCCTTTCAAACTTTCCATGTAGACAAAGGACAGGATGTTTATATTTCTCGGTTTCCCAGATTATGTGAAACGAATTAATTCACAAACTGCTTGCAATCTCTACAGTAACGCGTGGGATATTGCTAATGCTTTATATCAGGCGTTGGTGTATTCGCAGTGCCTTGAAATTTTAGTTTAGTTAGCGTAGAGTTTATTCATTTAAATAGATATATTAACATGTTCTGGTTTTGAAATTAAAAAGAACAACCCATTTAGTATTATAAGGTGGATATTAAATATTCTGGGATCCAAAGAAGATGTTGTTCAATATGGTAAAGTATCGTCGCATAAAAATAGAAACAAGTTTAATTTTTTTGATTGAATTATTGTTCATTTTATACTTAGATTTTTATATCTATGTAAGAGAATAAGGCGTGAAGTATAGATGAAAGTGTCGTACTCATCCTGAAGAAGTCTTACTAAGAATGTAGATATAATTGTCGCGAAAGATGAAATATGGCAAGTTCATTGAATTTCTGTATAAAGTTGTTAAACATGAATACAGCGTTTATAACAGGAGTCTCGCCAAACAAACTTGCCAGCATGAGTACCTCTATATCCCTATACCAGCCGTCATGGAGAGTTTTGTTGTGTATATTATATGTGTCAGTGTGTATTAAAGATGTCTATGAAAAACTAAAAAAGGGGGGAGATATTTAACGTCATAGAACCCAAAATAATGACCGTTAGAACAATCTAATCCCAGATATGACTTAACCGATTTGAGTGCTATTGTCACTAAAATATTGTAGGAGGTTAATAATACATCACTTAAAATTTAGTGATGGTTTAAACTGTTTATAAAACAATTTATCAAGATCTAAGTCTGAGATCTTATTGAAATAAGTACTAAATATGCACATCCGAATGTCGTAAATTACAATACAACAAAACGAGATAAAATTTGATTTATTTATCTCAATATCAATATATTTCGATTTTCCGCGGTTCTAAACAAATTCATAAGATACGATCCAAGTTCAACCTATTGGAATATTTTCCTTATCATTTTTATATCTATCAAAAAAAATGCCGATAAATTACTTTTGTTCACAGAACCAAATAACATAAAAAAAACGTTAACGTATTCAATTATTGTAGCATCTATCAATCTAATATGTGATGTAGGTAGATGGTAGAAAAATATGAATTGTTTCATTTTGGCGTCAAGATTGTATTTTCATGTGACAAAGAGCGTAGTGGGAAAACGTTTCAACAAAAGGACAAGAAAATTCAATATGAGAATATTATTCACTGAGTCACGAAAAAGACTTACAGAAGGTTGCATTGGAATTAAGTTACAAGAATTTAATTAATACATGTAAGAATTAATACATGAAATTCTGGTTGTTACTTATAATAAAATTTTCAAAAGAACGCCCCCTCCCTGAGAGGATTCTTACCCACTAAAAACCACACGGTGTGCTTACGCGCTACTGTTGGAGTTGCAAGATTGCATTAGCATTCTACCGCAACTCTGGGGGTGTTTCTCGCCCTGCACAAAGATGTGCAAGACGAGCCCTATCTCGTTGATAGGGCGACCTATATCACCCTACTCAATTGTGGAATCGCACGCCTCAATGTCCATTTATTTCTGTCGTTGCCCATATTCTCGAGTAATTCACGACGATGGCTTTTGAGGGGACCGCGTGGACCTATCGACTTTACTTTTATATACAGTATATGATAAGCTACGCTAATGAATCTAACAAGAGCTTAAACTAATACTGCCCTTAATTTTTGTCTGAGAATGAGAATATTGTACTTTACCGATTTCACATTAAAAATTGAATCTAAACATAAAATAAGAAGGTGTAAAATAAGATCATTAAAAATGAAGCATTTATGCTACAATAATATATAAAAACTATGGTATCTACAAAATAATGTTATGATAATACCACGAAATATGAAATATAATCGAATAACATGGTGTCGTCTATTCGATATGATTGATATTTGATCCCGATTTGATTCTGTCGAAAGGTAGCGTCCTGAATTTCAGCTACTTTCTCTTGTATACTCATAACATAAATTCATCTCAAAGACATAAAGAAAAAAATATTTCTTTTTCCAAATATAAAATGAAAAAGCTATAAAATAAGATCATCAAAAACATTTATCGTACATAAACTATGTAAACTACCTATATATTGAATCGTCTATTCGATATGATTGATTTCGATTCTATTTCGAATAATATACAAGGGATATTCATAAATTTATTTCAAAAATATATTAGTTATGTATCCATATTATAAATAGCTTATAGCCTGATATATATATGAAATAGTAATATTAATATAAATCATCCCTGTAGTCACGGCACTGATGATGGCAATCTGCCACGGTAGTAGTGATACACCACCCACTTCGTCCAGTAGTTCTCCTTAATGAATATATTAGATAATAATAAAACAAAATATTTTTCTTTAATCTTAAATTATTGTTTAATTTTGAACTTCTAATTATATTATGATTTAATAACTCTAAACTTCAAGGTATACTTCGTTCCGAACTTTCCGTAAAATTCTCTAAACTCCTCCTCCAATGATCCCAGTCGTGGTGATGGTAATCCGTGAAGATCTCGTAAGTTATATTTCTCTTCTGGATATGAAACATATGTAAAATTTTGTTTAATTGTTATCACAAATACTATTATTTTATATAATTATTAAATACGAGCGTTGTAGCATTTAAATCAATTAACAAGTATTTTTTTTTATTTAACACAATAAAAATATATTGAAGGTAAATAAAAGTTGAAGACCTGTATAGATATTCATAAACGATAGCTATGAACCTTACCGATCACGTCAACTATTAAACAAAAAGAACATATCATAATAGATTTATTCGTTAAGGAGCTACGATACTATAGACCGGCACACACAGAAATATTAAACTTGTTATCTTGTTGCATTAAAGTTAAAAATTCATTTAAATCTATTATATACAGATATGTATGAAAATGAAATTAGAACGGAGTTTCCAATAATAAATTATAATAAAATCGACTGGTATTTGCTTTAAAACAAGTTGTCTTAAGCCTAATCCAATTTGAATATGGAACGGCGATCCCAAAGCTGTATTATTTGTATCATTAATAAAACGAATTCCAAGCTATATATTTTTATTTATGTTACTAATCTATAGAGTTTCATTTCATTATTCACAGTTTTTTTTTTAATTTTATTTGTTGTAAATAATAGCTCTTTTTATAAAGGCTATATTCTATTTTTAAAAAATAGACAATGCATAATAATTGTCGTATTGTAGTTTGCGTCGGTACCTCAGTCTCACCTATTTCAGCCACCAAACTACTTGATTTTTAAACAGTGTTTAAGTTTAGAAGATAACGATAAGGCAGTAAAATTATATGATGGCGTATTATCCCTCGTGAATGGCAATACATGAAGCTGATGATAATCATCACATGATGACGTGGCGTATGTACTGCTGTTCATATTGATGACGGTTACCACTTACCACCAAGTAGACTGTTAGCTTGTAAATGGTTAGTTGTCTAAATGGCCAAACATCGCTTACGTACTATGTATGTAATGTCACCATTCAATTTACAGAAAAAAAACGCCGGATAATTAGCACAGCGCCATCCAGTCCCACAGTAAGCAGAGCTTGTGTTATTGGTACTAGACAACTGATATACATACTTTAATTTTTTTTGGTTAATGCATATATGATATACATAGAAAACATCCAGACTGACACAAACAATCATACTCGAATGAGAATCGAACCCACGACATTCGGAAGTAAAGCAGTGTGCTATACCTACATATACACCACCGAGGCCGACAAAAAACACATATTGACGTTATGGTCGCGTGCACTTCATGTTCATAAGTGACTGTTGACCATTTACAATTTAAAAAATATAATTACTGAATCTTTGTTTCCCTCATTAGGTTTCATTGTAACTTGAACCACTATTGTAATTCATACGATTTATAATTATTTCTTACGTCTTCTTCGTCTGCATCACACTTATCATTATATATTGTCTTTACACTTATCATCATATCTCTTTAAATAGCCTATGTGTTATTCTGATGTAAAAGCTATGTTACTGTAAAGTTTCAGTAAAATCCGTTCAGTAGTTTTTGCGTGAAAGAGTAACAAACATCCATACATACTCACAAACATTCGCATTCATAATATTACTAAGATTTTGTAAACGATCTTAGAATTTCTTTTTATCGAAATAATATATATTAATAATACCATATTACTAATAACATAAATGTAATCATATATTTATTAAGGCAAGACTTGTAAGAAATTACAGACATATTTGGTTAATATCAATAAAAAGAATTGCTAAGATGTTTTCTTATATATTTACCACTTATATACTAAATAGAAATTAGTAGATTAACTTAATTAGTAGGGTTAAATAATAAAGCAATAATAAATAAATCCACGATAAACTCATTTAATCTATAATAAATAATTGTTAGTACAATTAATATTTATAATAAATTAATAAATTAAATATATTATTATTATTCAATTTCCGACAAATGCTCAGTCGTTTGTCTAAATGCGGAATCAGCATTATTGTACATCTTAGTACAAAGGTCATACAAACTAAACAATAAATATGTGTTATTTACATTAATACGTTGTGTTATTTAATTATTAAATTAACAAATAATATTGACAGAGAACTGAATAATATTTATTATAATATAATATTTTTTTAGCGCTATTGTTTCTGTATCTATTTTCAGTTCACTGACAATGTGATGAACTTAATACCGCTTGCATTTGTATGTTAATTCAATAGAAAGCTATGGTATATCAGACTTGACTATAAAAGGATCTGATTAGATCACAAATTGATCCAGAACTTCGTTATTTTCAGTTCTTTTTTGTGTTCGTATCTTTAATCACCTTTAAATATAATCTATTTCATGAACTGCAGCCGCTTATTAATATTGGCTATTGGTGGGTAATAAAATAACGTAACAATGTATGTTTCGGCTTTACTCGTCCGCACCGTTTTGGGATGTCCGAGCATTTATGCATTGCCAGCGTGCTGTAAAAGAGATATTAATGGGATGATTTTAAAGTTATTTATTGTTTGAAAGCCAAGGTTTTGTAAAGGTGAAAGTACACCTAAATGTTCTAGAGCTGTTCACATTTTTTTCTTCGTATCTATCTTTATGTGTATACATTGGTATACTAAAAACACCAATGTTATTTATTATTTGTATTGGTCTATATTACATTTTCAAATATATAGGATAATCATAATTAAGTGTATAGTAAATTACGAGACATTATCAATTATTGAATCTAACAGGAATTTATAAATACATGACAAAAAAACTGATTTTGTATAAAGTCGTCGTGCCTGTTTCAAACTACTTACTTTTGAAGTTGGGTTATATATGCAGGCAGGCAAGTAAATAGTGCGAATACATGTATAAGTACTTCAATTAGTACTCCAACATATTAATAACTGATCAGTATCAAGGGGAGTTTAGCTGTTCATGTATATAGTTGAAGTTTGCCACTTACCAGCAGGTAGGCCTGTTTCAATCTTTATATCGTTTCAATTCAAGTTAAACAAATAAAACAACGAAAATTTATCATACTCCGAGCATTACAAGACGCTGTACTGTTATTTTCAATATATAAGGATAGAACAGGATTGCTCAATGTATCAAAAATTAACGACATACGTCGTTAATTTTTGACATATTACATATTGCACATACGTGCATAGTATTTTAGTATGCGTTCACCTTTATGCAAATCTTTCACAGTGCTACTAACGTACTATGTTGACAGGTATTAACATCAACAATTCGCATGATGATATATTGATACTGGTGATGTGAGTGATGTGTGATGACGGGCAAATGAGTGAGGTGTTGATGATGAATTTATTAAGCGCTGTCCAAAGCAGTTTTATATGGATAGATTTATGGGTCGCAGAAAAATCTACTGTAATTACATACCTCCAACAAATACTAGATCTGACTGACAAATATAAGAGTCAGAGGACTTGTTTCCATACAAGCAAATATTGCATAAAAATAAGATAATTTTATAAAAAATAATGTTTCATATATGTAGCGATTTATATCAATTACGAAAACAAACTGCGGGCCGCATAAATATTTCGGCCTTTATTTGGACAGCTCTGAGTCAAATACTAAAGGAAAAACGGGCGAAATGATTTCAACGCATAGTTAAAATAACTATGGTATAAATAAAATTATAATAGTTTTTGTAAATGTATTCTATAAATATACCTTTAAAAATACATTTCTACGTGCGTCATACAATGGTACCAATCGTTTCCACGGAATTGGAAATTGTGACTTTGAAGGACATTCCAGCAGTGCAGTGTCCACAGTGCATAGTGTTATATTAAATGAAATTGTGAACGGGTGCTGCTTGTGTGAACTGGTCTGTTCAGGCTACGGCCACTTATTAAAATCCTTTTGATGTAAATACAATCACATATGCTGGTCGTTAGTACATTCTCTACTATTGTGCTTAAAAAATTATCTATATTTTGTTTTGTACAAGCTCATTTGTAAAGAATAAGAGCTGAGTTTCTTGTCAGTACTTCTAATCTCGAAAGCACTTTGAACTGGCGTTCGATTAACATATCGTAACATTCTGTAGTAGGCCTATATGAACAAGGATTTGATTTAACTGATAGTATTGTCCTAATTTATAACTATCTGATACGTATTCTTCAATGTTAGATGTACCTTTTAATAAACTCAAAAAATTTATTTATAAATACTTATTAAATAAAGCTTATTACTCAGTAAACGATTATTTAGAAGCTGACCTTGTATAGTTAGTTGTTCAGACGAGAGATTTTCGATATTTTCTATTAGATAAATAATACCAAGACTAATAAACACTATTTGAACGCTATGTTATTATTTTTTTGAAACTGATTAAAATCATATAATATTTCAAAAATATTCAAAATTAATGTTTTGCCAGTTCTTCCCAACTGAAGTAGCTAGCTGAACTAGACGGTTTAGAGAGTGATATAAAATTATTACTTGCATAAGAGACTGTATATCATCAGAGACCTTACATGAGTAAATATTTTTTTACTTTACATATCTTTGACATAGTTCTGTTATTATAAAATATTAATTTGTACGTTATAGAACAGGAAGTAATAATTATTAATATGTATAGCTGATATTATTTTCACAAATTACAAAAGTTTGTTAAGTGTCGCGATCAGCATAACATTGACAGTTTACAATCCTTCTGACTACCCCATCTAGGATGACAGTTGTGAAGGTATATCATTATTAATAATTAATATCAACTTTATACCAACTCTTACCTATCTTGTTGTAATGCGTATGAAATTCATAGAGATTCAGCTACGTGCAAACTACAGATAAAATATATACACGTACCCGTATTTGTTAATATGGATGTTTATCATATAACGTAATATAGAAATAAGACGTTTTACCTCATATTGTGTGCAATTCACAGAAATGTTTACCCGTACGTTAGAAACTTTATATAAATACTCGCAGAATTTTCTTTTGTTTTGTTATTTATTAAAATATACAATATAGGCTGTATACTGTATACATTCATCCCCTATTTCCCTTTATTCTAGGTAAGTATATGAGATAAAAAACCTATGATCTTCATTATGATACAGTATATATTAACGTTAAATTCGTTTAAGATTCGTTACAATCCTTTTAGTCAGTAACAAGGTAATAAACAGACAGACAGACGTACATACGCATTAGTAATATTAGTATATATATATATTTTACCTACGTACTAATATTTCGCTTAAATATTTTGCTTCGCTATCACTTTATATTCAAAGAAATTTTCCATTAATAGGAAGTTCTGCCTAATATTATAAAAATATATAACTATCAATTAGTTGATTAATTACAACAAAATATATAGTCTGAGAAGTTTCATGAAAGTATGGAATTTTTCTGAATAGAGCAATTCTTTGAAACAATTATAACAAATTATTTCTAATAGACGTGATAAGCCTCTTTTCGAAAATTTTGCATAGTACTTTTATATCAGTTGTTTACTTAGTATCCATAATACAAAACTCGACTTAGCTTGAGACCATATGATACTATGTGAATGTGGCTTTTGTTTTTATTAAAGACTTAACCATTTTGTATATATGTAAAGTCATGCCTAAATTTCTTAGCTAAGCTGCGTCTAGGATATACATTATTTTTTACAATTTTAACGAGTTTTTATGTCCATATAATTTATAATCTCTGTATTGCACTATTTGTATATATAAGCAATGAACTTTAGATAAAGAAATATTCCATTAGCGATGTGGCTAATGGAAAAATAAATGGGATTCACTAATCCTACCCTCAAAAAGAATATTTAGCACTTTTTATAGATTCTATCTACGAAAGGTTTTTGTATATACAAAGCTTAGAGTATTGAACTAAAAGTATATACATATTAGACTATTAAATTTTTCATACAATGTAACAAGGCTAGTTTGTTACCTGAGGAGAGAATAATTTCTTCAATCCTATGATGGTGGCGAGCAGAAGAGCTATCTTGGAGATCAGGAGAGCCTTCCCTACCATTAATGTTAAACCTTTGAAGGTCAATGCACCAAGGAGACCGAATTTCAGAGCTGCTGCTGCTAAGAATGGACCCAAGTTCTTGTTACGACCTCTGCCAGTTTCAATAGCTTTCGGTGCCTTCAATGCAATACCTGGAATTGAAATAAATAGTATACATTAAATATGATCACAATTGATAGTCGTGGTTGAGTAGTATACTACGTGGACGTAAACCAAACCATTATGGGTTCGAAAATGGCTGAAATTACTTGTCTTTGCTATGTTCATAAGGGGCAGTCCCGAACTCTTAAAGATCGATCAATCAGGATTTTGTACATATCATATATAACAGATTTTTTTATATTCCGATGGTGGCAATCAAGCATACGGCCGATCTGATGGTAAATGGTTACTACAGCCTATGGACGCCTGATATTATAAATTCAAAAGTGTATATGTCGGACTGTTTGTGCTTTTCACAACTAAATGGATAAACGGACACTAAAAACTTTGGCATGAACATAGATTATATTACGAAGAAGGATTCTCAATTATCTCAAAAGAAGAAGACGAAGTCTGGGAATCAGATAATAGATAATATGTATAAAGTTCTGATTGATCAATTGACCTAACAACATATAAACCAAACAAGGTCATAAACTTGACATTTGTAACTAAAATTCTTTTTGTGACAATCACTAAGAATGTACTACAATTCCCACGGAAAAGGGATATAACTGGTTTATGTAGGTGAAACCATGGGAAAAGCTGATTGTATAATACCAAGATATACCTACAGGTTAATTGTGATTTATGTGCCGTTTACTAGTACGTCAAATTCTTTATACAAATACAGATTCAAATCAATGATTCATGGTATAGTTTTAAAATTGAGGAGTCAAAATTAGAGATGCATGGATGAAATTATATCATCCTGAGTAGCTACAGTAGTACATCTAATTTGGAATGAAACTATTATCATAATCGAGGATTTATGGAGGAAACCAAATCATACACAATCATACACAAATCCCTCATTTGGGATAAGTCCGCCATTTTCTTTTAAGATCGTTGTATCTTTAGTTAATTTAAATCTATTTATTATGCAATAAAGTGTTACAAACAAATAATATGATATCTTCTTCTATAGTTCGATTTCAGTCGGACTTAAAAAAGTTTAAGAAATTGCAGGCGTGTGAAAAGAATTAATATTTTATGAACACTACATATATCATTAAATCAATAATATTGTTTATTATATATTATATTTATAATACTATTTGTTCTAATCAATTCAAAGTGAAACATATACATACGTCTTTGATATAGTGAAAACTAAAATACTAAAATGTCCAGCATGAATAAATTACATTTTATTTGAATTAAATTAAATAATTAAAAATTCACTAACCAACTCCGAGGCTTCCGTCCTTTTCTTCTTTGCCAGAAATGACAAGGTCAGCATTCTCCAACAGCCTGTACCTCAGCGACCTGGTGGTAGCGAAGCGCCATAGCTTCTCGCTAATTACCTGCTGAGCCTGATCCTCCAAAGAGGTACCAGCTCGCGCTAGGGTCTCTGGTTTTACTTGTACATCAGCTGCTACACCGTTGCTGTAATTGCAAAATATTGAACTATTAATTAATTAAAATAATTTACAATACGATTTATTGAATAATAGTAATAATAATAATCTCATTATTATTACTATTATTCAGTCAGTAATAATAATAAACACACCGCTTTACGTCCGATGGTGGCGGGTTCGATTCCGCGCACGACACAAACATTTGTATTCATGAGTATGATTGTTTGTATCGGTCTGGGTGTTTTCTATGTATAATATGTATGTATTTACGAAAAAAAAATCTATGTATTTGAATCAGTTGTCTAGTACCCATAACACAAGCTTTAGTTAGCTTAACTTGGGCCTAGATGGCGCTATGTGAAATTGTCCTGAGATTATTATTAGATTATTGGTATGAGTCCTTGACTATTTTTTAATACGTAACATATAATATAATATTCATCGATACCAATACGAACAATATTAGTACTTTAACGTTTGTAATCGTATCCGCGACCATGGGAAGTAAAGCAGTGTACTAATCCCCTAGACCTATAAAGCCCTCATAAAAGTTTATCTTTAAATCGACTCAACCAAATATTACAAAACGACAAGAGAAGTCAAGGATATCATTTAAAACAAAGTATCACTACACCACGACAGTTGTCAAATAATCCCATTAAATTTATAACATGAATAATGTATTCCACTTATTACGACATATAAATTATTCAACATTAGTAGAAAGATCGGTTAATGAGATTATTTCATGCTGAAACAACTATAAATTTCACGTTCACGCTTTTGTTCGGCTTTGTTGAATAACTTCACAATCAACGCAGATTGCTATTCAAATTGGATCATTATAATTTTAGCCATTCATCGCTCTCTGTTGAATACATACAATAATATAACATATCTGAATATACTATTTATATATACATGTTTACTACACTATTTCGTACTCGCGTCTTCGACTTTTTTTTAATTGATAGAAAAATGTGTTTCGCCGTTAATCTATCATCGAAATTTCATTAAAATCCATTCCACAAGTATTTTTAAAATAAATATTCTAATGTCGTTCATGTAAATGTTATATAAAAATCTATGTGATGTACCGAATGTAACTCATTGTAATGAAATTGCCAACTTATTGGTCGCGCGCGAAGGTTATGTAAGTATGAATAAGTTTCAGTACACGTGGCGTAACGGTAAATATATTTGAAAGAACATTATTCTAAATCTAGAATATTCTACGGCGGCAATGTGTCGGCTTTTAAAACTTTGTCTGCAATAATTCCATGTTTCTTCCGTAAAGCAAATGCAATATAAGAATTCCGGACAAAGAATTGAAGTTTCGAATCTAAAGGGTTACTATGTAAACTGAAATAATAAACGGGTAGTTTAGTACCAAGGGTCGGGAAGAAGAAGAAAGAATCAGTAAGTGATCATGGAATCGATCATATAATTCAGCCATACATGTTCTGAGATTATATCGAACAAATTGATTGTATAATGCTGGCTTAAAAATTACCGCGAAATTATCAATCAAACGGTAATATTGTGAAAAGATTCGAAATTCGAATTTGGAACTGCCAATCTCAGTTTATATTCTATGATAAAAAAAGAAAATGTAATATTTAGAACTCCTTGTATTCTGTTTGTTGCGGTATGAAATACTATTTTTTTTTTTGGAATAAGTACGTATATTCAAATATTAGTCTGCAATTTTGTTACCATAATTCTATTGTAACATTTTTGTTCTTACTATTATTTTGACTTGGTCGTTGCATTTTATAATATTTTATTTTCTATCAATCCATGCGCATGAGCTAGACTGTGAACAGTCTATGAAGAATCTTAGTATGCAACTCATGAGTGATATTTTGGTTGTCATATGATAACGTAATATCTGTAGTTCTAGTAATATAGATAAGCGGTTAGCGTAGTTGTGGTTACCATTACGTGGCCCATTTTCTTGTTTCCCATTCCAATATCATAAAAAAATGCAGTCTAAAAAAACTACGTTGATCTGTTTTTAAGCATAAAAGAATATAATCCATATACAGAAAAAGAATCAAATACCTCTCATCAACAATCATGGCGTCCTCGCTGAGTTGGAAGGAGGCAGTCCTGAGCATCCTGTCGACGTAACCAACCAGCTCGTGAGCGATGCATGATGAGGTCTCCCGCGCCGCGCATTTGCTGCTCAAACCTCGTTTGAGAGTCTCTTCTGTTGGTGACCGTGACTGGAAAATACAACATTAACCAATTCTAATAAGAATTAGGATAGAAATAGGGCTAACTGAGGTTAACAGTGGTTAATATAAATATTGATCCAAACTAACTACACAAAACTGAGATTACTATAAAAAAAAACTACTGTTCCATCGGAGTTTTAATGATTTTGTCAATGTCAAAGGTGGAAAAGACACTGCTTGTATAATACGAAAAATCATTAATCATTAAAACTCCGATGGAACAGTAGTTAAAAGACACGGTTTCTGATTACACTGTTATCAGATTTTTATATAAATATAATTTAGTCTCGTGATTTACTAATTATTCTTATAAATAATGACGGCGTCAAACTTAAAACAGTATATCAGATTTTTTGATATTTTTCACGTCTTAACTTCTTAACTGACCCTAATAAATAATATTAAAATATAAGGTGAGTATTAAATGTATTTCGAGGACAGATGTTACGAGGATTAATGTTAAAGAAGGCCTATGGCCGTCTTTAACATTAAACATACATAGTCACTGTCATCAGCTAGTGTTAATATGTAATTAATATGTAATATGATAATAAATGCTTTTGAGTTTGAATTTCGAATTTATTACAGAAATACATTCGTAAAGTAATTATCATACACATACAAACTTTATTTTCTCTCGGAATTCAATTCCTTCAAATATACAGATCTCGTATGTGGAATTTGAAACCAAAAACTCAGTTATATGAAGTTACTTACGAAATTTGTTTGTGAATGTTCCTTGGGTAGGGAAATTGTACGCGCTGCGAGAAATTTTTTGTCATCATTTCAGTAATATGTTTTGTAGTAATTTGAACACAAAGAGATTTGTGTTTTTCAGTATCAAAGGATATTCAATTTTTGATTGTATATGTCTTTGGTGATTGTTTACATTTTTTATAAGTGTTCCAATTAAAGGAGTACAAAGAAAGCACATAATTTCATTACCCAACAACAACTCAGAAAAAAGGACTGTTATGAGTTTGACCGATAATTATACATGTATATACCTACGTTTATTTATTCTCTCATAATTTTTAAAGTAGTAATAATATACCTTTACGTCTGTTATACTATATGGAGTAGTCAGAAGCATTGTCAACTGTCGATATTACAATGAACGTAACACTTGACTTGGCCACATTTCGAGTAGTATATAAAATTCAATACGGTAACACTATATACATAGACGTTTAAACACTTTTTTGTATCTTCCAGACGATGAACTGATAACCTTTTGGGCTGGAAGTCAAAAAGTAAACTAACTTACAAGGATCTTAATATTACTTATCTTACTTTAGTTTAGTAGTATATTTTTGTACAGGAGTAGTATATTTTATGATTATATACATAAAATATTATCCTCTTGAATTACTCTATCTATTAAAGAAAACTGCATTAATACTGTTGCATACTTTAAGAGATCCAAGTGTTAGTAACTTTGTACTATGTATTAATTTTGATATTGTTGTCATTTTTGTTGTAGGTTACATAATAGAGAATTCTGAGCGAAGACTTTGTGGTTCACTCGTTTGTTGTATGTACGAAATGGGAAACTATATTGTTTTATAGATGTATGTATAATTTGTGATAATGTACCGGTAAGTCGGTAAGCAGGTGATTGCTCAGCCACTCACATCAGACATTGTTTTTATAGCCAGCTCTCTCTACATATGTACACGCTAATGTATTCTCAAGCATACTTTGTAATATACGTACTTACAAATTAATAAATACAAGATTAGTGGTAAATAGTACATATGTCTACGAAATCGAAACCAATGGCAATGTGCATGAAACTGAAAAAAATTACTTGAGAAGTAAAATGGATAAAAATATTTAAAACGTTCATACAATTTACAGTATCCTTTTAGTAAGTGATGAATTTAGTGAAAAAATATATAAAGATGGAGATTCCAATTAAAAATAGAATTATAAAAACCGGTTAACGTAGAAAAGTTCTGATTTAGCGCACATATGTAAAAAATGCAACCGTATTGAAATCTCTTTAGTCTGGTAAACTCTTTAGTGAAAAGTCTACTCTAAGTGGATTAAAAACTGCCTAAATTTTTATTCTATCTAGTTTTTACGAGTTACTCTATATATATAAGGATATTTCTAGTAATTATATACATCTATATAATTAGTACTAACTATTACCTTATCTGTGGCACTACTTACACTGTATAATACAATAATATAATTGCAGGTATAAACGGTAACAACATTGTACAATCATAACATAATATTCACAATAAATAAATAATTATTACAGAAATCCTACAAAAAATCTTTCTTATTCCAAATCAAAGAACAAATCAGTAGAAGCCTGATATATCTGTTATGAATCGGATCCCTTTATTTCGCTTAAATAGGAAACAACAAAGGATCGACGAGATACGAGTACAGCGTGATTGTCATCGACATGTGTAATGAAGTCTTTTGAACACTTCCATGTGGGTAGTTAAATGAGATGGAAGACTCAGCTTTACTTTTTCACAAATAAAACTAAGCAAAATTACCGATCGCAAAATCTGTCTGTATAACTGCTTATTTATTCCATTATAATTCGACTTTCACTTTCTGACAAATGAATTAAATAATAATTATTAATAGAACATGAATTTGAAACTAAGACGTACTTATTTTACTAATTATGACAATAGAAATACTTAATTGTATATTTTTTGGAAATTAATATCTAATATGCGTAGACTATTACCACCCAAGTTCGTTAAAAATACTGGTGATTACGATTATTAATTAAAATAATAATACTAACTCAGAATAATTCACACAACAATTTCAAACTAAACCGAACTTATTTTATTAATTATAATTATATATGCATAGAAAATGACCAATCATTACAAACAATCAGACTGAACATAGTATATCTGCCGAGAATCAAACCTGCGACAGTCAGCAGTGAAGCGGTGTGCTTAATCGCTAGACCATCGGGACTGTTGTAAACGCTCTATCAACATTTCGAACGTGAGAATCGTTTATGGATCAATCAATAATCACTTCCGTAGATAAAGTCATCAAAAAAGTCTAACACCAGCTTCGCACTATTGTGAACAATTGTAATTGAACATTATTAGAACAATGTACTAATTAAAAACACTAGTTAATTATATTCATTTGTTAATACACCTCTCGATAAACATGGGTTCGATCCCAGTAGAGTACAAACATTTGTATAGAGTCTACAAATGTAGGTGATTAGTAAAATCAAAACCACAACAGTAAATATCTATGATGTTGCATGTTAATAAAATAATTAAAAATATTTTAATTTTCCCATGTACTACACATGGCAAAATGAAAATATCCCAAAATTTATTACTTAATTCATCCCTTGAAGGATTTTTTCTTCTCTAGTATATATTATTTATATATATTTAACAACAAACCCTTTTTTAATAACATATGTTGTCTATCCATCTGTTTGTTACTTAGACGTGACTAAACCTAACTTTTTAATTTCATATTTTCCTCAGTTTTCTGTAGTAATATTAACCAATTTTTAACAACATATTCTGTTTGTGTATTTATTACAAATTACATGACTAAACCAGAATTTTGATAGTTTATCACGAAGACAGACACAAACTACTTTTTACCCCATAAAAACAGATGAAGCTGCTAGTCGCAGTTAGTGTAATGTGGCTGTTTATGTGGAAATAACATCATATAGTTGAGTTAATGCAATCCAGGCGTCAATAAACTGTAGTCTAATAATAAAACGTACTGGTACCGTAACTCTATAAATAGCCGACACCCTTAACAAGAGAAGCCAATCACTCTGGGAAACCGCTAACATAAGCCCGTTTTCCACTTTCTATGTAATAATTGATACACAAGTGTAAAATGACACGGTCCGACTAGAGAAAGTTTGATGTACACTTTGATTGTAGATTCAAAACGTTCATTAATTGTTAATTAACTATCATTAAATCATTTATGATCATCAATGATGTATTGTTACACCAACACCTAGGCACAGTAAAAACAGTGGATGAGACATTATTATGAAAATTTTAAGTATAGATCATGACTTCAATAAATACGTAATAGTACAGTAATAAAGATTATACGGTATAAGAAGAGCATACGTTTCTTTATATATTTGAAATTGAAAACGCCTATGTATAATAACTCTCTATTAATCAACATAAAAAAGAAAATTATCAATCCTCCATCACATTTATGCTTTTAAATAATTCATAATATAATTTTAGAGAACAGATCCTGATAATTAACAATATCAACAGGCTATGTTTTAACAGAATCGAATTACAACCGTATTGAAATTGCTTTCAATACGTTACATAAATAATCTAGAATATTTGTCTTTCCATATGGAATTTACAAATAATAAACCTAAGCAAAAAAATTCATTCGTTAGTTTGTGTCATGTAATTAAAAAGTGGAAATCAGATAGATGTGATCAGTACTGGCTTAGACTTGGACATTAACTAAAAAACCCTAAAGGGCCGAACACCGACATGGCATACATAGTCTTGTATGATGACGTACTCCAACAGCCCAACACAGAAGCGTCTTGTATATTGCAAGTGAGGCAGAATAGTAACTTTATCTTATATATAAAATTCTCGTGTCACAGTTTTCGTTCCGATACTACTCCGAAAGGGCTTGACCGATTCTCATGAAATTTTGTTACCGTATTGAGTAGGTCTGAGAATCGGCCAACATCTATTTTTCATCCCCCTAAATGTTAGGGGTAGTCCACCCCTAATTTTTTTATTTTTATTTTAAGGTAAAACAACGTTTGCCGGGACAGTTTTATATAAATTTTATTACAATGTAGATTACATACATTTAACTTTATTTTAACTATTTTCTTTGCAATTTTCGTGACAATACAAAAGTAATATCATTGAATTCATAACGCTATGTAGAATGCAATTGAAAATTACTTATACAGACTTTTTTATTAGGTAGATAATTATTATAAATTCCTTAGTCTTAATATATAAATTAAAGTGATTATATAATATAGCATCGCATTTTCATTACTAGGATATCATAAAACGAATGGAACGGATGGGAGTAACAAATCACTAGTACCAAAGGAGAAAAAAACCTGCCTGTAGCATATAGCTTAATAACTGTAACGTATGTATGTTATGGGTGATAACGTAAGTATTACAGAAATCTCGTAATATGCACTGACTCTTGCATATGATAAAAATGTTAATCATTTCATAAACATACATACTGTTCATTTCTTTTCAGTTATTTTCTTTATTTCAAGGAAAGTAATACATAAAACACTGTAAAGGTTATAAATTTGTACAAGATTTATAAATTTTTACCAAAGTTTATTTTATTTAGTTTCTTCTTAGCAATTTATTGTGCTCACACATTCACTGCAATTTTTAACAAAATTGTAATTATAACTGAATACGAAAATAAACTATAACAGTGAGATTCGATAGAAGGGGAGTTGTAATCGAGGTTTCAGTTTCAAATCTTGGTCGTTAGGATTCGAAGTTTGAAACTATTTCGTTTCTATTCAATTAATGCTGTATGATCTTTGTTAGCGACCTTAACACAAAAGATCTAATAATCTTTAGAGCGACTATTCATACAAATTATTATTTACGCTATGTGTCACCCCAAAAATAGCATTATAAATTGGGCAATCAAAACTAAACTCACCTGATTATCAATCTCACTTGATCTTGCGATCCCAATCAGCAGAATCGATAACAAAAATACGGTTTTCATTTTGTCGATTTGATTAATGTCTCTCACTTCACTAGCACTTAGTGCTTACACTTATTTTTTTTCTATAATCTGCGTCTACGCAGTTTATCGTGTTATAAAGAGTGGTATAGCAAATGCAGAAAAGACAGTCTTCATACAGCTTTATACGTTAATGCATGGATGCACACGCAGTGGGGTATAGATTCTCTAATGAGAAATGTTGTTATCTAGGGGAGAATGAGGTAATTAGAAGTATTTGCTTATTTTTTTATGAATGATAATGTAATGGCTAACCTTTGCTAATGATATACGTTGACGGGCCACTAGTGGAGGATGATAAGATGAGCAACAGGTTAACGAAATTATCGTGACAATTTGAGAGGGAATTATTGGGAACTGTTATAGTTCTCAGAGCTAACCACGTGACCACCATACCACGTGATAGAAGTACTACACAGTGATTTCTGTGTTACATAAATCCGAATATTCTTTACAGATAGAATAAAAACAAAATGGTTGTCATAACCAAGTGGTTTTGAGGGAGATGGGTATTATTATAATGTGAACTAGTGGTCCATTGCTAGCAAATGTATAACTTGAACTTTGACACCCATTCGTTTTCCAAAGAAGTGTTCTCATTTTTATGACTTAACGAACAATTGCTTCGAAGAGTGATTTCGGACTTAAAATATTAAAGTTTTAAAAAACTAATAATGCTGGCAACTCAATAAGAAGTTGTTTTAAAGTTTCTAGCTTATTATTTCTTTTGTTAACTTATTTAGTTAATAATATATAAATTTTTGTAAATATTATGTCATCCGAAAAACGTAAGTAATTTGTTAACGTAAGGTAATTCTAATATTGGAAACTTAAAACGTATCTGTCTCTCTGTATGTTTGATATTTTTCCACAACTTAACGTCTGAATTAATGTTACTGGAATTGATGTAAATCATAATCGTATCTTAAATGCAATCTTGTTGAATTAAATTTAATTAGTTTTAATATTGTATCTATTAATTTTAATAACACCTAAAATATTGATATCAATAATATAATTAATATAATACATAGAATAGTTTTGAAATTGCTTTCTTTGAGTGATATACATTTACCTTTGCTCCCCTATGTAAGTCAATTCTTTAATTATTTCAATTGACAATTTTAGGTTAACATATACTTGTAAAAAAAAGTGAATACTGAGTAAATTTATGAATTTTACTTAATTTATTAGGAGGAAATTAAAAAAATTCAATAGTATATCTTGTGGATAGAAAAATAATTAATTTTCTTTGAATCAGATTGTGTAGTAGTAAGATATAACAATTAATAAGTATTTTAAATAGTGTTTGAATTTGACATTATATTTTAAACATGATACTCGAAAAAAAATATTTATTTCTAAACCATTCGTTCAAATTCGTCTCAAATAGTTGCAAAGTAGTTCTACCTGTTGTGAGCATATAAAAAATGTATACATATATAATAATGTATATATAATATGGAAAGATTTTCGTTTATTGCTTATAATGGATTTAATTAAAAAAATGCTTGTTGTATTATAAATTCTTATACTTATGGAATGATATGTTATCAGGGACAATATATATACAATAAAGATATTACAAGGCGTTGCCATGACAACCGATTTTTAATTAAATTTAAACTTACTGTTCTGTAATTTTCCAATATTACATTACGTCTATTGTTTTTCAATAGGTATTCTGAACTTTTTACATAAATTTTTCTTAAATAGTCTATTTTGTAATTTAGTTGTAAAGTTTTTTTTAGTGGATGTTAATGGAATGATACACCCGCCTCCGCTAACGGTTTACTCTGGCAGGGCACCAGTGGAGGATGATAGGATGAACATGAAGGCAGGTCAGTTAGCCCATGGTGATAAATTCAACGGGAATTTATCCAAATAGTTTCTAGGGGGAACCACGTGTAGGTCGACCTAACATGGTATATTTCTAGCAATGGGGGTTACTAGTTACTAACAATCCCCTTCCCCCCTCACCAAGAATTTATCACGATGGTTTCCAGGGGGAACCGCGTGGAGGTCAACCTGACATGGTACATTTCTAGCAATGGGGGTTACTAGTTACTAACAATCCCCTTCCCCCCTCACCAAGAATTTATCACGATGGTTTCCAGGGGGAACCGCGTGGAGGTCAACCTGACATGGTACGTTGCTAGTAATGGGATCATCAGTCCACAGTCCATAGTCCATCATCAGTACACAGTATTACCAATCCCCTTCCCTCCAATTTAATTGTAATTAATTTAACTCTAAGTAATGTACTTATTGACCAAAAATTAAACACAAATTTTATTTGGAAATTAGAACATTCTCACATGGGATAAACCTTTTACATTCATAATTTTAGAATAAACAGACAGACAGACAGACAAAAATTAAAAAAAAAATATTTTGGTGTATGTACCGTATTCATATTCATTCATATGCATGTAGTATGTTTTATTTATATGTGTAGATGTAGTTGTTTGTTATTATTATAATGTTATTGCTATAATTTTCTTTTGCTTTGAATAAATTATTATTATTATAATGTAATTCTAATTTAATAGGTAAATTAATATATAGCACGCAGACTCGGACCTAATATTAGTATTAGAACTGAAGCTTATTTCATAATTGCCTTGAATTAATTGAAATCCCTCTTATTTGTTAATAATGGCGTACACTACTAGTTTAACTTTGATTTGTTATCTCATTGGAAATACAATTTCCTCTGTAACCTTACTAGTTAATACATTTTAGTCGCACAGAGCTATCAAAGGAATGTGAGTGAAGCCAATAAAAAGCATACCTCGGGAATTGATTTATTTGATATATCATAGAAAATAACTTCGTTCGACAAATCATGGTGCTTCTTCTTCGTTTCTTCTTTCTGTCTTAGACATCTATATTTGTTTCTAAGACATCTATATTGTTTTTAATCTAATTCTAAATTAATTTTAATATTTCTTTTTTAATATAAGTGTCTACTCATTTCTGTCAACGTAAAAATTAATTTATTCTAATTGGAGTAGCAAATTTGATTCGATTATGTTCAGGATTTCATGAAAGAGGACAAGGGGAATATCTATTGTCAATTTTTCAATAAGGAAAAAAGATCTGTTCATTTTGTCAAAATGGAATCGGATCCATTGTTAGAAATACATTATTCTACTACGATTGTTTAACTGGCCATCTGATCATAAATGGTTACAGCTCATATCGGACGATATACGGCCTGAAATACCAGGTACGTCACATACGTAATGTTTTATTACTTGATAATTTTTTTTAAAAAAATCATTGTAATTTTTTAGAGAATACTTTGGCAGTCAACTTTTTTTTTTTTTATTAATACTGAGTTTGCGCTTGGTCTTACCTCATCTGATGGTAAATGATGGTAAGACCTAGGATGTAGCGCGCTTACCCAGAAGATATCTATTCACCATAGACCACTTATTTTCTATCTACGTGTTTAATTGAGGAAATTCTTGTGAAGATTTTAATTATATTATTATAATAACATTAGACAAGTTCGTGTGTTCAAATCTCCCCTAAAAAACTCTGAGTAACAATTTGAACTATCACATTAGATTCAAATATATCCAGCTTAGTTTAACAATAGTTGACTGTACTATCTTATATAACAGTTATAAATGTACATAATTTATATTCTAATAATTTAATTGTTATACTTTATAGTTTTATTTATTATTTTAAACACTTAATATTGTAATTGTGATATAATTATCTGTTGACATATAATTGTAATTATAGTACTATTGACATGTAATTGAGTAAAGAGATTACATTTGTGAATAAAATAATATAAATTATAATAATAATAATAATAATCTCAGGACAATTCACACAGTGCCATTTAGACCCAAGTTAAGCTAGCTAAAGCTTGTGTTATGGGTACTAACACTGATACAAATACATAGATTTTTTTTTTTCGTAAATACATACATAATATACATAGAAAACACCCAGACCGATACAAGCAATCATACTCATGAATACAAATGTTTGTGCCGTGCGAGGAATCGAACCCGCGACCATCGGACGTAAAGCGTTGTGCTAGACCGCTAGACCACCGAGGTCGTCATTTGATCTAATATTTAATTTAAAACGGGACACCATCTAGAAGCGTAATACTCTGTATACTGAGGCAATTTAAAAAAGTGCGTTCCTTAAATTGCGCCATGCTGGCATCGTTTAGGGAAAGTAAAGTGCCTATATACTTACATTGCGTCACCAAGGTTCGTGACCTTGCGCAAATCGCACGCAATTTTTACAAATTCACCTTTAATTAGCTTTTATATTCTACCAGTTCGCATACTGCTATGTTCCGCCTTATTTTTATAATACTTACTCACATATAACTGATTTATCAACCCACAGCCTAGAGTAATGGACTTGAAGATTAGTAAGATATTTTGAAATTCATCGTTCCTAATGAAGTAATTATTGAGCTTTCAACGTCTATATAGTCTCTAAGAAAGGATTTTGATAAATTCCACCCCTAAGGGGATAAATTAACGCAAGCGAAGCCGCGGGCAAAAGCTAGTGTACCATATAAGCCGACATTAGCAAGGGAAGTGATTCAGAGATACAGAAACAACCTTGTGCAAACTCACGATGATGATAAAAATGAATACTGATTTTTTTTTTTGTTTTGGCAATTTTCTTTTATACAACTGAAATCCTTAATAGTATGTAGTAACCGCCGCCTACGTAGCGCCACAGACGTTATTATGTAATGCTCATAATAACTCTTATGATTGGCCATTCCGGAGGTCTAAGATGCTATGCTTCTATATTCTACAATTTCACTGTCTTATCCATCCTTCAACCGAAACACAGCTTCCAAAGCAGCTTGGCGGCTGAACTATAATAAGTAATTCTGACGTCTGTTAGGTGATTAATTTTTCAAAGTCTATCTCGGTAGAAATCAATGTATTAGAAACAATATCATCACCCATCCAGTACAGGAATGGAATGTAACAGTGCGAGTGATAAATAAACATAGGATTAATGAAAACGAACGAGTCAATGCGTCGCGGTCGGCAGCATACATAAATAGCACTATTAAATGGGGAAAATTTGTGGAAAAAAAATTACTTTCGAGACTTGGTGATCTTGCTTGTGGAAAGCCAGCACGGTAGTCAGTCACGCGATCTGGAATGCCTCCGTTTTAATTGCTGGTATACTGGCTTTTTCATGTGATGTCGTCTGCATCGATTGACCGATTAGTCCTTTTTAATTGATGTAATTCTTTATACATTATTTCATAAGGAGAATAATGTTTTACCTGTGTTTGGTATGTTTGGTATTTTCTCTATCTGTACATTACGAAATCGTTATATTGAATTTGTAAGAGTACTCGTATATCTACAATATATGTAAAAAAATACCTGATCAACCATCTCAAATAATAAGAAAGAATCGGGTGTTTTTAATTTTTTAATGCATCAAGATTTCATCTATATTCTTAAAAATAATTTTACTTTAAATTGTTTACGATCTTTTCACATTCCGATGGTTATGCATTCGAAGCCTGTAAATAGAGAATAAATATTGATTCTTATTACTTGACTTTGATTTTGTTTTACCTTTTTTTGCATTAATTCAGGGCAATTTATCTATGTACACAAGAATATTCTCAGATTGTGACCAGCTCATCTGAAACTATATTTTTATTTATTATTTATTTATTACTCTTTATTGTACCATAATAACAAAAAAAAAAAAACATATATACAAACGAAAACAATATTTAGATTATGGGTACAAAAGGCGGTCTTATCGCTTATGCGATCTCTTCCAGACAACCTTTGGGTAGAGGAGAAAAGACAGAAGGTGGTGGATGGCGCATGATGGAGTAGAAACATTAATAATATTAATATATAAAATAATACATATCATAAACATATACATTCTACATAATATATAAATACATAACTTATAAAATAAATATACAATAATATAATACAAATATATACGAGTATAGGTACACAGCAACATATATGCAATTATGAAGGCGACAATTTAGTAATAAGAAAGAAAGGACAGCAGAAAGAATATTTACTGAGAGAGATAGTGCGATTTCACAGCGTTCTTGAAAATGGTTAGTGATTGCGCACTCCGTATGGAGGATGGTAGTGAATTCCACAGTCGCACGGCGCGCACAGAGAATGAGTTAGTGTAGAAAGAAGAAGTATGGGAAGGAGTTTTAAGGCATAGGTTTGTTGCACTGCGTAAGCCATGATTTTGGGACTCACCGAGAAAAACAAATTTTTCTTTAAGATAGTAGGGAGTTACAGGGTTAAAAAGAATGGAGTAAAGAAGAGAGAGGATATGCCAGTCACGGCGAAGACGTATAGGGAGCCACTTGAGCTTTGAGCGATACTGAGAAACATGGTCATATTTGCGTAGTCCAAATATAAACCTTATACAGATATTTTGAAGGCGCTCAAGTTTATTTAATTGGACTTCGGTGAGGTCTAGGTAGCAGGTGTCGGCATAATCAAGGACAGGAAGGAGTAAGGAGTGTGCAAGCGAAATTTTGGTGTCGACGGGCAAGAAATTACCCAATCTTCTTAGTGAGCCTGCGACCATGAAAATCTTTCGACTAAGCTCAGCCATCTGGACTGACCATGACAAGGTCTTGTCAAAGTGAATTCCGAGATTTTTGACACTGTCGCTATACTCTATACACACACCGTCTAACACTATCCGCGGAAGCGTACTCGTTTTTATTTTGGCTATGTAGCGTGGGCTGCCGATAATGATGATCTGGGTTTTTGCCGGGTTTAATGCCAAACCGAAAGATTTGCACCAATTGGTAATTACATCCAGGTCTGTAGCAATAGTCTGTATGGCGGTTGTAATGTCAGTTAACGTAGCTTGTGTATATATCTGTAGATCATCTGCATAAAGGTGGTATGAGGAATGAAGTTGTGTAGTGATGGAATTAATGAATAACGAAAAAAGAAGAGGAGATAAGACGCCACCCTGAGGAACGCCGGCAGAAGTATGACACCACGATGAAAAGGTATTGTCAATACGTACTCGTTGCCGACGCCCAAACAGGTAAGTTCGAAACCAGTCAGTTACCATTGGAGATATGTTGATTGAACGCATGCGTGCTAACAGAATGTCAATATCAACAGTATTAAACGCATTACTGAAGTCCAGTAATGTAAGAACTGTTAACTGCGAATTATCCATTCCGTGCCGGATATCATCACTTATTTTGACTAAAGCAGTGGTCGTACTATGACCAGGTCTGAATCCTGATTGGAGTGGATTTCACAGGTCATTTCTTGATAGGAATTTACTAAGTTGATCATGGACAAGTCGTTCAAGAGCTTTAGAAAGGAAAGGAAGAATAGAGATGGGACGGTAATGGGAAAAAGAAGACGGCTTACTAATTTTAGGAAGAGGAATAATATGGGCATCTTTCCAGATGGAAGGGAAAAAACTAGAGGATAGGGAGTTGTTAAAAATTGTGGAGATTGTAGGGAGGATAATATCGAGGATAAGATGGACCATAGTACGACCAACACCATCAGTACCCATGGCATCAGAGTTGATTGATAACAAGCTCTTCTCAACATCACAATTAGTAACTAGATTAAACTTAAAACTTGGATAATCAGGAGTTGGAGTAGTTGAAAGGAGATTTAACGTATTTGTTTTCATGTTGTTGTTAATAACAAAGGAAGATGAGAAGTGCCTATTAAGGTTGTCTATGTTGACATTGAAAGAATTACTGATGGGATTACGATCTTTACCAACCCCTAGAGATTTGAGAAATTTCCAGACTTTGGCCGGATTACCATTCTCGACAGATTTATGAATATGGCGTCGTTGTGCCTCTCTACACACCTTATTGCAGTGATTTCTAGCTTTAATGTACTGGTCCCGATATTTATCAGGGTCGGATTTAAATTTAGATTTCGCCTTGTTTTTAATGATCTGGATGTCCTTAATTTCTTTAGTTAGCCAAGGTGCAGGTAGATGCTTCACGCGAATAGGTCGAATAGGAGCATGGCGATATATATAGTTGTAAAACATTCATTTATGTATATTTGTTTATAATGACAATAGTTTTAAGTATTCTAGTATTCATATTACAAACTTTGTTTAGTGCAAAACTACATGGCTCTGCTATCTTTAATGCATTGCGTAATCTATTTACAATATGCAATTGTGAAAAGTGTTTTATCTATAAAAGCCTTATAAAGAAACCTTACTTACTATTTTACAGTTATTCCATAAAATATACTAATAAAATTATAGAGACAACACAACAGATAATTCAATTGTACCTAACAGATAATAATTATAGTAGATAACTAATCTATACATATAAATAAAATTGGAGTGTCTGTTTGTAATATTGAAATAAAACTTTTTTACTGCATGCATATGAATATAAATACGGTACATACACTAACTGGTACTGGCAGGTAGCTAATGTAATAAGTAGTAACTTAGGCTACATTTATTTTAGAAACATTAACAACACAACAAAACAATACAACAGAAAAATAAAATATAATTCCACGCGGACGAAGTCGCGGGTACAGCTAGTACTGAATATACATAAAGTCTATTGAAAACTTATGTATATAGATTGGGTTGTATACATTCATTGGGTGCGTGATTAATATCAATACAACTTTTTGTCGCTGAAAAACACGTAATTCCAAGTTTCCGATTTTTATAGCAACAACTTACTAGCTGTAATATTATGAAATTGTTATTTATTAATGAAAGTGTTAGATATTAATGTGAATGCTTATAAGGGCAGAGGAAGGCCGAAAAAGAGATGGATGTACTATGTGGAATATGATATGGTATGAAAGAGACTAAATAAATGACTGCGAACCGGGATGAATGGAAGAGAAAGACATTACGCCGACTCTATGGGATAATGAAGAAGTAGACAATGAACATACTAGCTGTAGTATTGTGATCGAAGTATTATAATAGGTAGGCAGGTTTTATATTAACAAAATGTGTAGGTAAAATATTATATTATTTAAAATTCGTTTATTAAAAAATATTCCATTATTTTAGTGTTACAATTAGGTACAATATTTAATAATAAATATAATAATAATTATTATCATCTTTATTTGTCTCAAATAATAAACTATTACAATTGCTGCTCATAGCAAAATTAAAAGGTATTAATCGAGACAAGCAGTGAGTCAAAATACAAGAAGAGCAGTGAGTTCACTCTCTACTATTCTGTTATATCCTTTATTGGCCAATTATTACAACAAAATATCACGTCATTGAATTTAGAATATGGAGTTGGCATTTATATATTCTTTATTCAGAAATTACAGATATATAGGCAAATAAACGTATGAAATAGGTCGATTTGATTTGATTTGATTAAAATCGTACTACGGGTACCAATTTACCTTTTTGATTTGGAAACCTAATAAGACCTGACTATGGTAATCTCTGTTTAATATTAATATTTTATATTAACTCTTCTAATATTAAAAACGTGAATGTTTACAAGGTTGGATAGAAATTTGTTACTTTTCACGATAAAACGATTCGAATTCGAATGAAATCGGTCCTAATTTTTTTTAGTCTAGATTATTTTTTACCTGTAAATAAGGGCGTAAATTTAATACAAAGAATTTGGATGCGATAATTCTCAGAGAGATATCTATTGAGTAGATTAAGAGTATAAGTTGCAAGTTGAAATAATTACGTCCATACTTATAATGCTTGCGTATTGTGGTTCGTGAATACAGAGTAACAATGAGCTCTGGACAATGTACTGTTGAAAAGCTTTTATGGCCCACCCACTCACCCACTCTATAATGGGACATACGGCTGAAAATGTTGATCAACAGAGCTACCTGTATTTTTTTAATGGATCATAATGGTATAGTTCGTCCGACTACGCCTACGGCGCTGGCGTGGCATCAGTGGAAGATAATAGGATAAGCATCTGGTCAGTTCAGTTATCCCGTCAGGAAACCATTCAATTCAATTCTTAGTGAATTTATAGCGATGGGTTCCAGGGGGAATCGCGTAGATTTCAGTCTGATATAAATATACCTGATGGGGCTCGTTCTATTAATGAGGAGGTAGAAGTCGATGGTATGAATATTTTTGCTTATAACTGTTTGCTTACTATTTATATTCACACCGAGGTAACCTGTACAAAGTTGTTTATTGTGTCTTTGTGCCTGTTCTTATTTTGTAAAAGGTCTTTCGGTATGGCAACACTTATAACAAGTGTGACATGATAATGTGAAGTTATTTATATATTAGTATTATTGGGAAGTTTCAGAAATGATACGTCGATGCAGCAGTATTTTTATTTTATTCTTTTTTCAAATTATACTCCACATAAATTTCGTCGCTGTACATTCACGTCTGGTCGTCTCGGTCGCCTCGTACAAAAAGATAACAGCCCATTCCCTCCTAGGTACCCGGCCTCTTTATCTCTAAATACTGAATTGAATTTCTTCGTCTGATTCTAAATTTGAAAATATATAAGTAAAAAAATAGTCAACTGAGTGTTCTTTAAGTATTAAAGCTAACAGTATGAAGGCGATTATTCTTTAATGGGTGACAATGTAATAATCTATCTGCATGCATCCATTCCATAAATATATTCGTACCCGGTTAATAATTTAAATTATAGATAGATAAATTGTTAAAACTTTTATTACGAACATCAACAGATTACCAAAAATAGACAACATAAGAAAAATAACACACAAAGTTTTACAACAGGTGCTGCCTCAACTGTTGCTGGTATAAGCACAACCTCAATTATATACACCTATAAAGATTCGGTTTTTAGGCTGCCCCCATTATTCATTAAAATGAAAATCATTAAAGAATTACGCAATTATCTAATTCACAGTTACGTAGATAATTAAATAAATACATACATAACCCTGGACAATTAACACAGCGCCATTTCTCACAGTTCCAATTAAGATCTTGTTTTATGGGTACTAGACTACTGATATATGTAAATACTTAGATATATTTTTTTGTGAATATATACATAACATAATAGATAGCACCCAGACAGATACAAACATTCCCATGTCCAATACCCATGAATACAAAATGTTTGCACCGTGAGAGGAATCGAACCCGCGAACATCAAAAGTAAAGCGGTGGGTTAATCCGAGGCTGTCGAGGTATAGGTAGGTATTAATTAGTATTCCGTACAAGACAGGGCATATATTCTATCTTATCAGCTATTGTGCTTGAGATCCAGGTTCAAACTCATTGAAAGAGCAATCCGGTATTTACGATCACTATAAACATGAACGTTGGAAGTTTTTATAGTTACCGCCGCGCATCGTTGACTGTAGTTAATAACTTTGTACACCATCCAGTGATACGATCAGACTTAGATATTACTTAAGATTACTTAACACTAAGATTTTTCATTTGATATTTTAATCAATAAATTTAACATAAATGGCACCATTGAAAATGAGCGCTGTATGTTAAGCTAATGAGTTGTGGAGGCCCTTTCAGCTCATAGCGAAATATTAGTTTTTAAGTTTTCTATATTCATACTCTGTACTATGATGCTGAATAAATGATGATTATTATTATTATTATTATATAGAATTAGTCATTTACCTTACTACAATAGGTATTTAAAGTAAATTTTAAGATGTTTGATCTCCAGTAATATTTTATTACTGGAGATCAACATTAGTAACGAATTCACTTGTTCCAAGTTTTTTTTTATAACCGTAATCTGTAGGTATAGGATGAGAAAACCTACGGATGGTACGTAACCTATGCTAAATATTTCCTGGGTTCAGAAAATATTTTAGCGTCTAGCTGTGTTAGCGAAATGGTAGTTCTTCTATGTTAATATATTGATTGTTAACCATTGCGAGAATCAAAACGCACATTAAAATAAATATATTAATTAGTGCAAAAAGTTATTGCATTCATTTATAATATAACTAGCTACTTGCCCCGGCTTTGCACTGGTGTATATGTATTATACATATAAACCTTCCTTTTGAATCACTCTATCTATTAAAAAACCGCGTCAAAATCTGTTGTGTAGTTTTAAAGATTTAAGCATACATAGGAACAGATAGCGACAACGACTTTATTTTATACTAGGTAATGATATAAAGAATAAATATTAATGAAAATTTATAAATTTAGAAGTAATTTTATAATTATACTTAAATTATTAGTGTACAATTGCACAGGTAGTAAAATATTAGTTATATAGTAACAGGTAAATGTTAACCATTCAATTACAAATATTAACTCTACAACTGTAATACAATAAATTTCTGAAAGGACTGTAACATAATTCATTATATTGTAACTAATCGTAATAATATTATATATGCGAAAGTTTGTAAGTATGGATGTTTGTTAATCTTTCACACAAAAACTACAGAACAGATTTTGGATGAAACTTTACAGTAATATAGCTTATATATCAGAATAACACATAGGCTATATTTTATATTGAAAATTAAAGCGGGTCAAACCGCGAGCACAGCTAGTTGACAATATTTCTCACTACACATTTAGAAATAGAGTCGTGAAAATGTTTCTTTATTTATTTTTGTGTATTAATCAAGGATACTTACAGTACCCAAGATTACATATATGCAGTCACATAGACCGTGAATGCTCGCAGTACAACAGTCATTACTCACTCGTTAATACCTAAGTGACAACAGTACAACGTAATTTCAGGTGGCTCTTACCTTTCATATAGAAATATAGCATACCAGCAAGATGATATAGGTACAATTAGACGTACGTATAATAATTACTTAGTTCATCTGGAGTAGAACATTTTTATGTAACTTCAGTGCTTAAATATTTGTATGCTGACAGCCCATCTGACGGAAAGTGTTTTCTATATGTAGGTCAGTGAATTTACTACGATGGGCTGACTTACCTGACCTCATATTCTTCTTATCATTCTCCACTGGTGATGTGCCAGTGTAGCGTTAGCGCAGGTGGGCGGGATTATCATCCATAAAAAATCTAAACTCAATCAATATTACAGTGACATTTCATGC